AATACAGTGGTCTGTTAAACATTAAAAGCTTCCCTAAACAGGGCTGCCTTCAGATGTCTTCTGAAAGTCTGGTAGCTGTTCTTCTCTTTGACATCTGGTGGGAGGGCATTCCACAGGGCGGGTGCCAGTACCAAGAAGGCCCTCTGCCTGGTTCCCTGTAACTTGGCTTCTTATAGCAAGGGAACCACCAGAAGGCCCTCAGCGCTGGACCTCAGTGTCCGGGCAGAACAATGGGGGTGGAGACACTCCTTCAGGTATACTGGACTGAGGCTATTTAGGGCTTTAAAGGTCAGCACCAACACTTTGAATTGTGCTCGAAAACGTACTTGGAGCCAATGTAGGTCTTTCAAGACTGGTGTTATGTGGTCCCGGCGGCCGCCCCCAGTCAGCAGTCTAGCTGCTGCACTCTGGATTAGTTGTCGTTTCTGGGTCCCCTTCAAAGGTAGCCCCACACAGAGCGCATTGTAGTAGTCCAATGTCCTGCACATGGGTTTCCCACACACATCTGACTGGCACTGTGCTAGATGGGCCACTGGCCTCAGGGGTGTTTTTAGGGTGGTGTGGCCGATGTGGTCACACTGAGTGCTGTGCTGTGCTGCAGGGGGCACCACAACAATGTTGTAGAACAGAGCGCAAAAGGGGGGGGCACTGAATTTTAGCCTTGCCCAGGGTGCCTCTGAAATTTTAGAGCCCCAAGTCCGCAACTGCTGGCCTGATCCAGGAGGCTTTTCTTATGTTCTTGAGTACTTAAGGCAGCCATATAGAAATCCCTTTGATTCATCTGTGGCTAATGGCTGCATTCTGTTCCTTTAAGTAGCTGTTTGCTGTTATGGATATGTCACTATTAGCTGTTATGAGAGAAGGGACAAAACCAAATTCCACTTCCTCTGGGCCTGGGACTCTCTCTTTGGGGTCTGCCGTGAGGATCTCAACTATCATGGAGTTTCCTTTGCACAGATGCACCTTGAGAAAGGCTCTGTGTCATTGATTCCTAAATGTTCCTTCTGTTTTTCCTGCGAGATGATCTTCCTCATGGGTCTTTCCAAGTGTCTGCTCTTTACTCTTCTTCCTCCCTTTCACTTTCACTTTGAAGCCAAAAGTTAGGGGCCTAGGTAAAAGGTAAAGGGACCCCTGACCATTAGGTCCAGTCATGGCCGACTCTGGGGTTGCGGCGCTCATCTCGATTTATTGGCCGAGGGAGCCGGCGTACAGCTTCCGGGTCATGTGGCCAGCATGACTAAGCCGCTTCTGGCAAACCAGAGCAGCGCATGGAAATGCCGTTTACCTTCCTGCCAGAGAATTTATCTACTTATTTATCTACTTGCACTTTGATGTGCTTTCGAACTGCTAGGTTGGCAGGAGCTGGGACCAAGCAACGGGAGCTCACCCCGTCGCAGGGATTCGAATCGCCGACCTTCTGATCAGCAAGTCCTAGGCTCTGTGGTTTAACCCACAGCGCCACCTGCATCCCAGGGGCCTAGGAGGCTGCCTTAAAAAGGTAAAGGACCCCTGACAGTTAAGTCCAGTCATGAACGACTCGGGGGGTTGGCCGAGGGAGCTGATGTTTTGTCTGCAGACAGTTTTTCCGGTTCATGTGGCCAGCATGACTGAGCCGCATCTGGCAAAACCAGAGCAGCAGACGTAAACGCCATTTACCTTCCCGCCGGAGTGGTACCTATTTATCTACTTGCTCTTTGACGTGCTATCAAACTGCTAGGCTGGCAGGAGCAGGGACCGAGCAACGGGAGCTCACCCCATCGCGGGGATTCGAACTACCGACCTTCCGATCGGCAAGCCCAAGGCTCAGTGGTTTACACCACAGCGCCAACCAAACCCTTGGCCTAGCTGGCTTAGTATTTGCTCTCTGGAATTCCAGACAGGGAATCTTTCCCAGCCCAACATGGAAGTTCCAGCCGGGATGGAACCAGGGATTTTCCGCATGCAAGGCAGATGCTTTGCCCTTGAGCTTCAGCCCTGCTAGCGACAAGCAAGCACCAGGGTGAGCAAGAACCGTCCACCCACTTCAGCACTGCTGCCTCCTCCTCCCAGAAAGCTCATTAGGGCTGGCTCTGATTGTCAGCCGAGCGCCTCCACCCGCCTGGCTGTTGCCAGGGCCTTCCTCTGGAGCCTTCCCTGGGGGCTGCTGCTTGCGACAAAAGGGCTCATTACCTCTTCCTTGGCTGGCAAGTGCCAGGCAGGCGCGAGAGGCGGGCATGGATCAGCTGCTGGTCACCAGCCCAGAGACAGACCCAGACCCAGCGGAGCCAGTTCCTCTACACTGAGCTAAGAGAGAGACCCCCACATGTCTTCACAGGCTCAGCAGTTCCTTCTGAAATTTCGGGTTGCTGTGATTTTACTGAGTTGCATTCACTGCTCGATAAATTAATGGTTCTGGTTTGCTTTATTTATGTGTTTGATGTTCCAGTGTTGACAGCATATGTTTCCCCTCCCCTATTGTGACTGTTGTGATCCGCTTTGAGCTCAGTGTTGTCGGGGAAGTGGAATAAAAACGTTAAAATAATAGGAATCTGTGCAAAGAATACAGATAACACAAGCAGTATAATGAGAACTGTTGGAAGTTACATACAGTGGTACCTCGGGTTACATACGCTTCAGGTTGCAGACTCCACTAACCCAGAAATAGTGCTTCAGGTTAAGAACTTTGCTTCAGGATAAGAACAGAAATTGTGCTCCGGTGGCGCGGCGGCAGCGGGAGGCCCCATTAGCTAAAGTGGTCTTCAGGTTAAGAACAGTTTCAGGTTAAGAACGGACCTCCGGAATGAATTAAGTACTTAACCCGAGGTATCACTGTATTTTAATTTGTCATGTAAGTGTAATATATTGTGCTCTTTTATGTTTGTTCCTTCATCTTTTCTTCATTTGTTGTTTCTGTTCATTTGTATCGTTTTCTGTTTTATATGTTATGTATATTTGTCTATGTGAAAAATAATAAAGACTTTCTTTAAAAAACCCAAAACATTAAAATTGAATAAGAGTCAAATAACACACATGAAAATGGGTGTTGTGGGGAAGAGACTGTTAGTTGAACACAACTGGGAAAAAGGGACTCAGTTTGTAAATAGTTGTTTGTGGTGGTGCTGTTGTTGCTGCTGGGTTGATCTCAGATGCTGTCCCTCCTTTGGTTTCTGTTATGTACTGAAGTTCTCACCCTGGGCCAGCAGGGGGATACTGTAGATAGTTTTCACTCAGGTCCACATATGCAAATAAGGAATTGAAAGTGACGTTCAGTGATTGGATAGTTACAGAAAGTTGTTACTGTTGCCTTGTAGTTGAGCTCTATATAAGCAGGTTGGCTGAACCCTTCAGTTCAGTTCTGTTCTGGCCTGTGAATAAACAAGAGCTGTTTGAAGAATCGCTGTGTCATCTGATATGGCCACCCACAACTTAACAATTTCCTGCTGGGACACCTCTTGATCTTCTGATTTGTGCTTAGTTAGGAAGAACTTTCTGACAGTGTGAGCTATTCAACAGAGGAACGGACGCTCTTGGGAAGTGGTGGACTCTCCTTCCACTGAGGTTTTTAAACAGAGCTTGGCTGGCCATCTGCCAGGGGTTCTTTTGCTGTGGTTCTTGCATTTCATGGGGGTTGGATTAGATGACCCTTGGGGTTCCCTTCCACCTTTACGGTTCTATGAGTCTGTCTCCACGGATGGATTTGTGACGATGTTGTCCCATCAGGCATTCCATCATTCTCAGCAGGTGAATGAATCAAGCGCCGGGCCTGCCCCAAATTTGCTCTGCTCCGTGTGCTTCAGGCTCTGAGGCTGAAGGCACTTCTGAGACCTGCCTACCCCCAGTTCATAAGCTGGGCAGCTTTGGAGCTGCTCACCCATTTGTGTGTTTTTGGTGTGTGTTTTTTAAAAAAATAAATAATTTATTTAACATACAGTGGTACCTCTGGTTAAGTACTTAATTTGTTCCGGAGGTCCGTATTTAACCTGAAACTGTTCTTAACCTGAAGCACCACTTTAGCTAATGGAGCCTCCTGCTGCCGTCGCGCCGCCGGAGCACGATTTCTGTTCTCATCCTGAAGCAAAGTTCTTAACCTGAAGCACTATTTCTGGGTTAGCGGAGTCTGCAACCTGAAGCGTATGTAACCTGAGGTACCACTGTAATTGTTACAAAATATAAGCAAAATATTGCAAATACATATATATATATATATATATATATATATATATTTCAAATAAGCACATATATGTGAAAAAAGGAACAAAAGAGAAAAGAAGTAGAAAAAATAAAGAGAAAAGAAGAAGAAAAGTTGGAAGAATTTCTTCCAAATTTATTCTACAAATATCTTAATATGAAAATAATAATAAAATTTCATTGGTTGACTTCCATCGCTTACACTGCACTTCCTATATACATTTTAAGCAAGACTGTATCTGTCATTCTGTATTTTCCCCATACCATCTCACACAAATATTCTAATCAATAAGTTTTCTAAATCTTTCATAAATCTATTCTAAACACAACCGATACCTTACATTTAATCCTTGTCTACATAAATAATCATTTTTATATTTTTCCAATTTTTTTTATTAATTTTCAACATTTATCACAAACATAACATACATAACACACAAAAAGAACCATACGTTACAATACTAAAGAAAAATAAAACAAAAATAATAGACCTATTACTTCTGAAACCCAATTTAACTTTCATTGTTAACTGACTTCCTCAAATCCTCCCCAACTGAATTTCATTGAATCGCTTTGTAACAGCTCTCCAAAATCACATTTCTCATAAAATTAGCTCCTTCAATTTACTATCCTCTTCTCTTTTCTTAATAATCTAGTCCATAATCTTTTAGAATTCATTCTTATTCTAGTCCTAGGCCTGTTTGGTACTTTCAAGTAACTTCTAACGTCTTATCTTACAATATTTATAGAAATAATCATTTAGACATTTCCATTGTTTCTGGATTTTATTTTTTGGTTTTTGTCTTATATTTTGTCGTTGTCTCTCCTTGCAGAAGGAGCCGCTCATCCAAGTCCCAGCCAAGCCAGGAGGGATGGGAACAGCCAGGTGAACAGGTAAGTGGCCCCCACACCTATTTCTCCATCTCTAACAGAGGCTGGTTCTTTGCGGCCTCCCTCCATGTAACTCTCTTTTTCCCCCAAAAAAATTTTTTTTATTGGTTTTCCATATTTATAAACAAACACAAATACACAAACAAAAATCTTAAATCTAATAATTCCACTTTTGTTTACATTGTTGGCTGACTTCCTTGACTCCCCCAAGCTGAGTTTCAATGTATATCATTGTAACAGTTTTCCAAAACTATTTTCAGGTAAAATTTACTTAGGCAATTAACATCTTTCTTTCTTTTCATTTTCACTTTAGACATAGTATTCTGTAACATCCCATATTTAAATCCTAGGCCAATCTGCTGCTTGCAAATATTTCTATTTAGATTATCTTAGCAGATTTGGTTAAATAGTCTTTAAATTTCCTCCATTCCTTCTGGTACTCCTCCTCTTTCTGGTCACGGACTTTTCTAGCTCCGAAAAGTCCATCATCTTCATCTGCCGTTCTTCCACTGTTGGCCCTTCTTGTAGTTTCCAATTTTTGGCCAGCAAAATTCTAGCTGCAGTTGTGGCATACAAAAACAGTCTTTCTTGGGCAACCTCCCTGTGAATCTCTGTGAATCTCTTAGCTTCACCTCTGCAATCCTGAGATCATGGCGGCCTGAACCCTCCCTTCCCCCACCATCCAAGTGGTTCCCCAGCCCCCTGCCACCGAGCCATGAATCTTTCATGTGACTGTCATCTGCCCCTCATCTTCCATTAGCTTCACTTCCCCTCATTCTGCTATCCCGCCCCCTCCTCACCTGCCGCCCACAGTCCACGCTTGGCAACCTCAGCCCCCTAATAGGGGAGGAAGGCAAAGCCCATAGAGACCTGGACATGGCAGAACTGTGGCAGCGAAAAAGTCCTGTTGGGAGTTGCCTGCCTGGTTCCTTCCTTGGCCTTTCTGACTGACCCCTCATCCGTACGCCTCTTTTCGGTAGCCGAATCATCTTCAAAGTGACTCACAACAGCAACGCTACCTTTAAATGTGGAGGCAGAGCATAGCCATCCTGGCTAGTAGTAGTAGTAGTAATAATAATAATAATAATAATAATAATAATAATAATAATAATAAATACCCCGCCCTCCCCAGCCAAGGCCGGGCTCAGGGCGGCTAACAAGCAATAATAAAAACAAGTTGAATGATTGCAACTTAAAAACAACATTAAAATACTGAAACATTAAAATATTAAAATGAAGCCTCATCGCAGGAGGAGAAAGGAAAAGAAAAAAGAAAGAGAGGGAGGGAGGGAATCAAATTGGCTCCAAGCCAAAGGCCAGGCAGAACAACTCTGTCTTACAAGCCCTGCGGAAAGAAATCAGATCCTGCAGGGCCCTGGTCTCATGAGGCAGAGCGTTCAACCAGACTGGAGCCAGTGTTGAAAAGGCCCTGGCTCTGGTTGAAGCTAATCTAACTTCCTTAGGGCCCAGGACCTCTAGGGTGTTGCTATATATGGACCTTAAGGTCCTCTGGGGAGCATACCAGGAGAGGCGGTCCCGTAGGTACAAGGGTCCTAGGCCGTGAAGGGCTTTAAAGGTCAAAACTAGCACCTTAAATCTGACCCTGTACTCTACCGGGAGCCAGTGCAGCTGGGAAAGCACTGGGTGAATATGCTCCCATGGCAAAGACCCCGTGAGGAGCCTCGCTGCAGCATTCTGCACCCGCTGGAGTTTCTGGGACAGCTTCAAGGGCAGCCCCGCATAGAGCAAATTACAGTAGTCAAGCCTGGAGGTGACCGTTGCATGGATCACTGTGGCCATCGATAGTCTTCTCCCCACTGCCTCCAGTGGGAGAGAGTTCCATAGTTTAACTTGGTGCTGTCACTGCTTTGTTTTTATCCCACCAGTTCTTTTTTTTTTATAATAATTTTTATTAAGTTTTCCATTTTAACAATCCAATCAAGTCACATTAAATATTCCAAATTATACAAATACATATCATAAGGTCCAAATATTTTGCCAAATTATAAATTTTTGTTGGGGCTTCCCATGCTTCAAGTTCAGTGGGATCCAATCATCTTATGTTTCTACTGCCTTGAGTTTCCAAGAGTTCCTTCTTTGAGTCCTCCTGTCGTTATCCTTCTTTCTTTCACAGCCTCTGAGTTATTTCCACAGGCGAGTTGGAGCGAAAAATACTCTGGTTTCTCTTCAGATCGTATAAATCTTACGCCTTTTCATCCCACCAGTTATAGCATTAGGAGAGAGTGAAGAAACCTCTTCCCTACCCACTTTCTCTGTGCCATGAATCGTTGCCTTTCCTCCAATTTGTCAAGGAGTCAAAGGGCCTGGAAAGATGAAGCCCATTTAGGGAGGGAGGGAGGGAGGGAACACGGCCATGAGAAAAGAGTTTCCACCCAGCTTTGCTTTTTGCCCCATTGTCAAATGATCTGGAGCCTTTTTTTTTTTAAAATAAATTTTTATTAATTTCCATAAGTAAAAAAGAAAACAAAGCAAAAACATAAATAAAGACAAAAACGACTTCCCCGTACCACCCCTTTTCTGCATTCTTGTTTCAAGATTTTTCAGCAACCCTTTCGTATTAAACTTATTTCTATTTCGTAAATTTAACTTCCATAAGATATTAAAACAACTGTAGTTCTTTATCTCTTATTACCCTGATCCTCTAATTTTCCAAATTACAACAGTTTTTAAGATAAACTTTAAATTTGTTCCAGTCTTCATCCACCGCCTCTTTCCCCCGGTCTCGGATTCTGCCAGTCATCTCTGCCAGTCCCATATAATCAATCACCTTCGTCTGCCATTCTTCCAACGTGGGTAGATCTTGTGTCTTCCAATACTTTGCTAGAAGGATTCTTGCTGCTGTTGTAGCATACATAAAAAATGTCCTATCCTTCTTTGGCACCATTTGGCCCACCATACCCAGGAGAAAGGCTTCTGGCTTTTTATTAAAGGTTCTCTTCAGAACTTTTTTAATTTCATTATAGATCATTTCCCAGAAAGCTTTAATCTTCGGGCAGGTCCACCAAAGGTGGTAGAAGGTTCCCTCCGTTTCATTACACTTCCAAATGATCTGGAGCCTTCAGCCGGACAGTGTCCCTTTAAATCCTCATGATGGTCAATAATGTTAATGATAATGATGATGATGACGACAAACGACAACAACAACTTATTATTTGTACCCCGCCCATCTGGCTGAGTTTCCCCAGCCACTCTGGGCGGCTTCCAACAAAGATAAAAAATGCATTAAAATGTCACACATAAAAAACTTCCCTGAACAGGGCTGCCTTCAGATGTCTTCTAAACGCCAGGTAGTTGTTTATCTCTTTGACATCTGATGGGAGGGCGTTCCACAGGGTGGGTGCCGCCACCGAGAAGGCCCTCTGCCTGGTTCCCTGTAGCTTTGCTTCTCGCAGTGAGGGAACCGCCAGAAGGCCCCCCCGGCGCTGGACCTCAGCATCTGGGCAGAATGATGGGGGTGGAGTAATGCAAAATGTGCTATATGGCAACCCCTTTTTAGGATGCTTTAACAGAGAAAGAGAGAGAGGAGGTGCTGCATGTCATTCCTAGCTTTTGCATCGCCTTTAAGCCACATGGAGCCTTTTATTCATTTGTTATTTATTTATTCCATTTCCATCCCGCCTTTTTCTCCACAAGCTCAAAGTGGTGGACGTGGTTCTCTTTTTATCTCGTTCATTTTCCCAGTATAATTCTGAATAACTCGGGAAAGTCACTGACGTTCCATTTTACCGATGGGAAAATGAGGCCGAGAGATTTCAGCTGCTGCCTGCTTAGCTGCGATTTTCCAGGAGGTGACCTGTCAGTCAGAGGGGGGTGGGATGGAGGCAGACTGCTCCCCTTAGCTGTTCCAAAGTGATGACAAGAGGAACCTTATAAGACAGGCTGTTTTGGACTTCAACTCCCAACAGCCCCGTACGATGCTGTGGGGCTGATAGCATCAAAGCCCTGCTGTCTGGGAAAGATAAGAGTTGGTTCAAAACATCTAGAAGGCACCCAGTTGGGGAAGGGTGTTCCAGGCAGTTCTGGAGAAACTGGCCCTGTGAGAATCTGCTCCTTCAAATGTAACCTGCCTCCTTCTCCAGTGTGGAGCCAGTGTGGTGTAGTGGTTAGGAGCGGTAGTCTCGTAATCTGGGGAACCAGGTTCGCATCTCCGCTCCTCCACCTGCAGCTGCTGGGTGACCTTGGGCTAGTCATGCTTCTTTGAAGTCTCTCAGCCCCACTCACCTCACAGAGTGTTTGTTGTGGGGGAGGAAGGGAAAGGAGATTGTGAGCCGCTTTGAGACTCCTGAAGGGGAGTGAAAGGCGGGATATCAAATCCAAACTCTTCTTCTTCTTCTTCTCCTTGGACAGGACTTGGTGAATGAGTTGGACCCTCAAGCAGGAGACTGAATGGAGAAACTACAGAAGGTAACTGAGCTGGTCTGGTCTGGGCCTGCCCTGGGAAACAGGTTCCATGGGTTCTGTGGGGCTCTCATTATGGTGTGAGGAGGGGCTCTGTCTCACTAGAGGGTGCGTGCTCTGGTTATCTCCCGCTTGGAATACTGCAATGGGCTCTACGTGGGGCTACCTTTGAAGGTGACCTGGAAACTACAACTAATCCAGAATGCGGCAGCTAGACTGGTGACTGGGAGTGGCCGCCGGGACCACATAACACCGGTCCTGAGAGATCTGCATTGGCTCCCAGTATGTTTCTGAGCACAATTCAAAGTGTTGGTGCTGACCTTTAAAGCCCTAAACGGCCTCGGTCCAGTATACCTGAAGGAGCGTCTCCACCCCCATCGTTCAGCCCGGACACTGAGATCCAGCACCGAGGGCCTTCTGGCGGTTCCCTCATTGCGAGAAGTGAGGTTACATGGAACCAGGCAGAGGGCCTTCTCGGTAGTGGCGCCCTCCCTGTGGAACGCCGGCTGAACGATGGGGGTGGAGATGCTCCTTCAGGTATACTGGACTGAGGCCATTTAGGGCTTTAAAGTCCCTTTGTGAGGGAAACATGTGGTTGCAAGGTTGAGTGAGGGGAAAGGGGTTACTTGCTCTGTATTCATCTTCTTTTTAACTTCACTGAATGTAATAATCAGTCCACCCATCAGGTTCTTTCAGTACCTGCAAATGAGAAGCTGACTTACAGCACTACAGGGAGGACTGTGATGTGACCAGGGATCTAATTAAATGGTGCTAAATCTCCTTCTCTGTTTCCTGTGTTGAGCAGGGTGGTTGAATGGCGTGGCCTGCAAGGTCCCTTCGGACTCTGTGAAATTTGAAAACCCTCTTGGCAGGATTCATGTCCTTCAAAAGGTGGCTGTAGAATATTTGCAGAATGACCAGTGGGTTTCTGTTCTGCTCAGCAGAAATATGCGAAATGGGGGAGCAGTTCTAGTAAAACAGATTCCAACACCCATTTGGAAATATTTTTGGAAGAAACAGCCAACACCCTCTGTTGATATTTTATTAAGTCGATGAAGGGGATTTTTTTTTAAAAAAAGTGGCATGTTAGTGACATCCCAGAAGTCTGTGATTCCACATGATGAACTGAATTTGATCAGAGGCTCCAGTGTCTCTGCTGAGATTAAATTCACTCCAGAATTCACACGCAGGAGGGTGCATTAAAGGGGGGAGATGGCTGATGCATGGAGCGTCCCAGTCTCCAGCCACCCAACACCCCTTGAGGTTACGCTCGCTCCATCCTTCCCCAACCTGGTGCCCTCCAGATGTTGTGAATGGCAGCTCCCATCAGCCCCAACCAACACAGCTGGCAAAGACTGCCATGTGCTCTCTCGGTAAAGGTAAAGGTTAAGGTACCCCTGACCGTTAGGTCCAAGTCATGGACGACTCTGGGGTTGCGCGCACATCTCGCTCTGTAGGCCGAGGGAGCCGGTGTTTGTCCACAGACAGTTTTTCTGGGTCATGTGGCCAGCATGACTAAGCCACTTCTGACAAACCAGAGCAGCGTACGGAAAAGCCGTTTACCTTCCTGCCGGAGTAGTATCTATTTATCTACTTGCACTTTGACGTTCTTTCGAACTGCCAGGTGGGCAGGAGCTGGGACCGAGCAACGGGAGCTCACCCTGTCGCGGGGATTCGAACCGCCAACCTTCTGATCGGCAAGCCCTAGGCTCTGTGGTTAGCTTGGCTAAAAAGATGAAAACGCGAAGAAAAGGTCAGCTAAAATACTCCCAGATCAGGTTTCTGTGATCAAGGAGATAGGATTATTGACAAACACAAAAGGCTGTAGAATTGCAGTGGAGTAAGGGAAAAGAGAAAAATAAAGTTCTACCTTGAAATGTTTGCCATGGCTGAGATAGTCAGCAAGTGAGTGGCAGAAAACAAAGCATGGAGTCAGGCTGGCTACCAACTCCAGTTTTGGCTGTATATTCATAGGAAGCTTAGCCAGGACATTTGGGTGGGGGCACCGGTTCACGATTTAAGGCGGTAGGACATACAGAGCCAGCACTGAAACACATTCCCTGTCTTCTGTGAAGCAAAGGCAACTCTGTCCCTTTAGGAATGGGGTCAGGTTGGCTCATTCAGGCACAGGCTGACAGGATTACAATAGATGTCAACTTCATTCCTGCATTGTAGGGGGGTTGGACTAGATCACTTTTGGGATCCCTTCCAGTTCCACCTTTCCATGATTCTGTGGACACTGAAAAGCTCAGTCCAGCAGGGACGCTTGCCAAGCCTTCTATCCTCTGTGACAGACTAGGGGAAAAAGAAAAATTCTGCAGCAACTTGGAGATGTCGAAGAGGTTGCTATCACTGCAGATATATTTTTATAAATCAGCCAAGCATTGCAAAAAAGCCTCCCTCTATACTCCATGATTTTGTAGTGGTCCAGGAGGGGTTCTGTTAGGTTACATTGAGGATGCTGTAAGGAGAATGTGCACAGATCTCGGAGGAAGTTTGATAACTGCCGCAAGATTAATACTTGCAATGATGATAATAATCACAGACCCCCCAGGGGTAATAAAAGAACATCTGCTTTAGGGTTGGGAGGTGGGAGGTGTGGCTTATATTGTTAGGGAACAGGCTCCAGCATCTGTGGGGACATGCAGTTGTGACACAAGCTCTCTTCGGGGAAGGAAAGGCAATTATCTGTTTGTCATATTGGAATAAAAACTGACTGCAGAATGATGTGAGGCAGAAATACAGGGGCTGTACTTTGGGACAGAGGACAGTCCTCTGTTTGAAGGACTGTCAGGTAAAAAGCTCAGTTTGAAGATGACCCAAAGAAGGGAGAGAAGCTGTATGTATTTGTGGGGAGGGGGGGGCAACACGTAAAGTTTCTCATTCACAGTAAGCAGCACTTGGACTGCGGATGGAATTATAAAATGACCAAGGTTCATTTATTCCTACTCTCTGCAATGCAGGAATCACCACCAGGGCCGGATTTATGTTTGATGAAGCCCTAATGAAGTCCTTTGATGAAGTCCTTTGTCAACAACAAATTGTCACTGTTATTTGTGTTGAATATATGCTATATGGTCATTTATGGACCTAATAGGTATCTAAAGCCATTTGCACATGTTGCCATGCAAACCGTCCATGCAGAATGGAGGCACCCTGTATATAGAAATGAGCAAACCAGTGATATTTGAGGGAGCAGGCTAGCAGGCGGGGCCCATGACTTACATCCTAGGAGCCTACACAACACAAAACACTGTTGCTGTATGTAGGTATTATTTTATTTCTTTTTAGTCTTACATTTTGGAAATGTACATCCAGTTGTTGTTTTTCCTTTAATTTTTTTTTGGGGGGGGGGCCCAAGAGAGAGGGGCCCTAAGCTATAGCTTGTTTAGCTTATATGTAAATCCGGCACTGATCACCACTAAATAATCTGTGACAGATGCCCTCCCCTCCCATCCTCTTTTTAAAAACCTCCGAAGGAGTCCGTTCCACTGTCAAATGGCTCTTACAGTCAAAAAGTTATTCCTGATTTTTAGTTAGAAAGGCCATCCGGTCACAGTCTTTTCCACTACGGTGAAGCGCTGCCCCTCCAGTTTTCTCTCAGCCATAGTACTTATTTATAGTTTTGCACTTACACTTACAAATTAGCCTACAATAAATGGGTGTCCTCTTTTTGGGGGTGATGCAAAGATTAGTTGGAAGGGACCCTGAGGGACATCTAGTCCAACCCCTTGCTACTGCGGGCAAGCGAGTCTTGGCCTCGCTGCTGAAGGAGGGAAATAAATTATCGAGGCTGTATTGAAATGGAAGTCACTGATCAAATGTCAGATGTGGAGGGTTTTACAGTGGTACCTTGGGTTCAGTACTTAATTCGTTCTGGAGGTCCGTTCTTAACCTGAAACACCACTTTAGCTAATGGGGCCTCCCACTGCCGCCTCACGGTTTCTGTTCTCATCCTGAGGTAAAGTTCTTAACCTGAGGTACTATTTCTGGGTTAGGGAAGTCTGTAACCTGAAGCGTGTGTAACCCGAGGTATCACTGTATTGTGTTTTGTAATTTGACTACTACGAAGCATCGCCAGATATCTTGGATCCAAAGAAAGCAATCTAGTCCGCAATTCTTTTTGTAGGATTATATTGTAGTATAGGTAGGCCAGACGAGGTATTCATTTGAAACATTTTAAAAAGACTGCCCCATCTCGCAGGCTGGCTTTCCAGTGTGCCCCTCCCCACCCTGCTTTTTAACATCCAGGCAGTGAAACTTGGCAGCCGGCTCGCTCTCGGCTTTGTGATGTGTAGCCGGTTCTAAGAAAGGTTTTCTGTTTCTGTCCCCAACTGGATAGCCAAGAATCTTATCAGTCAGTCTCCAGTCCCCTTCGGTGGCACATTTGCAAGGGGGCTGGAATTCAGCAGCTCTGCCCAGAACACAGCGCTTTGGGGACACACAGCAACCCATCTGATTGGTGGGAGGGAATACAAATGTATATTTGTGACAAAGCCAGAGTTTACTGTGCCTGCTGGAAGGAAATCCTTGCTGGAAACGGCTCTTCAATACGCTGCCGGCATGGCCAATGCAAATTTCCGTTTGGCCTCATTGAGTGGCATTGACTTTCTTTCCTGCAGCTGCTGCTGTGCATGTACGGAAGACAAAAGCGGATTTTTTTTAATTAAAAAAAAATAATGCACTCATAGGGACGCGGGTGGCACTGTGGGTTAAACCACAGAGCCTAGGACTTGCTGATTGGAAGGTCGGCAGTTTGAATCCCCGCGACGGGCTGAGCTCCCGTTGCTCGGTCCCTGCTCCTGCCAACCTAGCAGTTCAAAAGCACGTCAAAGTGCAAGTAGATAAATAGGTACCGCTCTGGCAGGAAGGTAAACGGCGTTTCCGTGCACTGCTCTGGTTTTGCCAGAAGCGGCTTAGTCATGCTGGCCACATGACCCGGAAGCTGTACGCCAGCTCCCTCGGCCAGTAAAGTGAGATGAGCGCCGCAACCCCAGAGTCGGCCACGACTGGACCTAACGGTCAGGGGTCCCTTTACCTTTACCTAATGAACTCATATGCAAGCATTTAATCTATTGGCAGCCATGCAGGAAGGTGGAGCTGCAATTGCATTCAGTCTTCTGCCATGTAATGTGCTGGATCAGGCCAAGTTTAGTCCAGTATCCTGTTCTCATACTGGCTGACCAGACGCCCATGAAAAACCATGCAAGCAAAAGAGTGTTGGCATCTCTTGTAGTTTCAAGCCACTGGTCTTCAGAAGCATTACTGCCTCCAACTGTGGATGCAGAGCAGTCATCCTGGCTAGTAGCCATCGATAGCGCTCTCCTCCATGAATTTGTCTAATCCTCCTTTAAAGCCCTCTAGACTGGTGGCCATCACTGCCTCCAGTGGCAGGGAGTTCCATAGTTTAACCATGCACTGCATGAAGGACTTCCTTTTGTGTCACTGAAAAGAAACGTTTTACTACATATTTTTTATTATTATTAAAGATTTTCTTGATTTACAAAAGTGTTTGCAATGTCTCTCTCTCGCATTCCCCCCCCCCCATGTAACATTTTTACAAACCAGTTTCATTTGTTGAGACATTGGGGGGGAAGGGGGGATGGGGGGTGCTGATGTTTCTATTTTGCTTAATATATGTAGGGTTTGGTGTCAGCGTTGCTTGTGCAGGTTCTCTGCTGTTCACTTGTGTTCCTTTGGTGGTGAGAGAGGTTGGGGTTGGCCTAGGGTGTGGTTGTTCATTTGTGGTTGGCTGGGGTGGTCTTTGTTTTCGTGTGTGAGTGGGGTGGGTGGGTGTTTTGGATCAGGTTAGCCATATTGATTTGTATGCTGTTGGTGGATTTTTGTTGTTGTCTTGTTGGGCTGTGTATATGATAAAGAAGGCGTCTTCTTCTGTTTGTCCCCATGTCAGTTTCAGTTTATTGGTTAATTTTCCTAGTAGGGCTGTTTCCCATACTATTTGGTACCATTGGTCCATGCTTACTCCCGACAGCTCTCTCCAGTGTCTGGAACAGAAATGTTTTATCAGAAGTTCCCTTTTAGTCTGACACGCGGCATTTTTTCCATAGAGTTCTGCACATTTGGCATGAATTTACACACACACACAAAATTTTTTAACCTTTCCTCCCCTTGCAAAATTCTCCTTTTGGCCTCTGATAACAGACACCCCTTCCCTTCTTCCTCCTCTTTCCCCTTCATTATACATCACAGGAATTTCCTTTGCTGCCCCCACCCTGGTCTCTGTTGTTGGAAGTTGGAGAGAAGCCGAGCAGATTGCGCTTGGCCTGTTTCTTTGTGTGTTGTGATGATGTCCCCCTGTGCTGGTGCTTCTGCAGCCGAACTGACCTATTTTTAACACCCCATCAGTGAAATTAGCCCCCCCCCCCCGACCGTGGAAGTTTCATGGGAGTCCAAAGTCTGGAACGGCGAAGAAAATGATCTTCGCTGAATATTTCAACCCCACAGCCTAGAGAAATTAAATGAAATAACAATACAAATATGCAGGAAAACAATATACAGTGGTACCTCGGGTTAAGTACTTAATTCGTTCTGGAGGTCCGTTCTTAACCTGAAACTGTTCTTAACCTGAAGCACCACTTTAGCTAATGGGGCCTCCTGCTGTCGCCGCGCAACCGGAGCACAATTTCTGTTCTCATCCTGAAGCAAAGTTCTTAACCTGAAGCACTATTTCTGGGTTCGCGGAGTCTGTAACCTGAAGCGTATGTAACCTGAGGTACCACTGTACAAGCACAGATTGATCAGTAGATTAACAGTTCCATCAAAAACGGAACAAAACTCAACAGCAGTGAGGACAAAAATTAGAATTTCTGAGCAACTTATGGGGAAGTCAATACCTTCTGCCATTACCTGGGGAGGGAACATGAATCGTTGCCCACAAGCCTCCACAATAGAAACCCCCCACCCTGCTTTTCCATAAATACAGGTGGAAAAGAGGAAGAAGGCAACCCCTTCATAGAGTCCCCAAAGCAAAGAGTCCCTTCCCTTTTGGCACTGGGGCAGCAGCCGCCTTTAATCAGCAATATCTGGGGGGCTAAAAGGCACCCCATGAGCCACAACTGGGGTTTCCCTTCTCCTCTTCCTCCTCCCAGGCCTCAAGGCTGGTGATAGGGCCGCTAGGAAAGAGGCAGGCAGATGAATTTGCTGGTAGCCACAATTGCAATGGATTGCAGTGGGATTTCAGTGGAGACAAATACATGGCCAGAGGTGGTGTTCTCATGCACTAGCGCTCTGTCTGTCTGTCTGTCTGTCTGTCTCTCTGTGTGCGTGTGTGTGTGCGTGCGTGTGTGTGTGTGTGTGTGTGTGTGTGGTGACATTTAATGGGGAGGAAGAAGCTTCTCGAATGGCCATAAAGCCCTTGCAAATGCAGCTGTTCTAATTTTTGGCCACACATCCCGGCCTTTAGGGAAGCGGCGCCACCTGGTGGCTGTTGACGGGCTGCTGCCCTGGAGAAGGTGACTGCCGTCACTCTCCACCTGCCCGTCCACACCCAGTACCCCTTCCTTAAAATGGCATCGTTTTTAGAGTGTTTTGGAGCACTAATTTAGACTGTGCACCAAGGGCTCCACAAAGCAAAGAGGCAAGACGCCTGATTCTTTTTTTCCATCCCTCAACATAAAACACTTCGCCCCCCCCCCCATCTCCTACATGGTATCAGGTTGATAACACCTGCTCTAGTATTGCCCCCTTAGTGGAAGAGCCTCCTCCCCATCTGAGTCGGTTCCCCGATTTTTTTTTTATTGATTTGCTAGCCAAGAAAACAACAACCCTACAAACATAACAAAGAGGAAAACAAACAAACAAATAATCAAATATTTAAACCGTAAAAGCACTACAGTCTGGAAGGACAGCTCCAAAGGGATAATAAAGTATTAACTCATACAAAGGTTCCCTTTAGAAATAGCAAAGATTTGTTAAAAATATAAGCCTTCTCCACCTGTGAGTTCCACCATTCCTTAGAACAAAGGTCCTTTTTAGTCTTAAGTGAGCCAGACACTTGCATGTACAGATGGCGCTGTATAAGAAATAACATCATGTCATATATAGACTGTAGGGACGCGGGTGGCGCTGTGGGTAAAACCTCAGTGCCTAGAGCTTGCCGATTCGCATGGTCGGTGGTTCGAATCCCCGCGGCGGGGTGCGCTCCCGTTGCTCGGTCCCAGCGCCTGCCAACCTAGCAGTTCGAAAGCACCCCTGGGTGCAAGTAGATAAATAGGGACCGCTTTATAGCGGGAAGGTAAACGGCGTTCCGTGTGCTGCGCTGGCTTGCCAGATGCAGCTTGTCATGCTGGCCACGTGACCTGGAAGTGTCTGCGGACAGCGCTGGCTCCCGGCCTATAGAGTGAGATGAGCGCACAACCCTAGAGTCTGGCAAGACTGGCCCGTACGGGCAGGGGTACCTTTACCTTTATATATAGACTGTATACTTTAAAATGTTATTTGAGCTTGGCCCTTTAGGTACGTTTAGTTTAGGGCAGACATTTCCAAGGTTTCAGGGGTTAATCCGGCCCACCAGTAGGTTTAATCTGGCTCCTGGGGTAAAATCCTAAAAATACCTCAAAAACCTCAATCCTAAAAAACCCCCAAGAACTTCAACCGTAAAATAAAAAAGTTTGGACACCACTGGTTTAGGGGATATCTTTTCAAGAAGGGCGGTTTGCCAAATAAACATACACAAACTTATTGTTGCTATTATAATAGATGGATAACTTGAGGATCTTTACATTTTTATAACATGCAGAGAATAATATGTGTTAAAAAATCAGAGAGAGGAGCTGAGGGAAGTCGTGGGGGGGGAGGGAGGGGATGGGGGAGGGGAAAATGGGGGGGGAACTATAATGAAGATTATTTGCTGGAATCATTTGTTATGTGAAAACAGTTATAATTATTATTATTATTATTATTATTATTATTATTATTATTATTATTATTATTATTAAAAAAGAAGGGCAGTTTGCCAAACCCTTGAACACCAGCAATCCAAATTATTAAGATCAAAGGCCTTCCAGGATTTGGCAATACAACCCTGGGCTGCTGCTGTTAAGAGATGAGAAAGGAGTTCTTTGCTTTTCACTTCCCCTCTGACTCGTGTCTTTTCTCCTCTCTCCAGCACCAGCTGACATCCCCAGGGAGCGTCTGCTCTTCCCGGGGCTCCAGCGTCCCTGGGTCACCCTCCAGCATTGTGGTGAGTAGTACCATGCAAATGGACCCTTTGCTTTTAAATGATACCTCACCTCCATGCATGGATCTCTCAGCTGATTAGAGCGTGGTGCTGACAAGGCCAAGGTTGCAGGTTCCATCCCCGTACGGGGCAGCTGCATATTCCTGCATTGCAGGGGGTTGTTTTAGATGATTCTCAGAGTCCCTTCCAACTCTTCTATGATTCTCCATCAAGCATCTTTCTGGGGCTTCATTCGAAACACTAAAAAGCTTAGCACCATAGCAGGAATGCAAGACTACAGCAGGAGCAGAACCAGAAAAGGTCAAAACCATGCCATCTGCAGCAGGTAAGGCAGGTACACCCTACCTGGCCGAAGCTGAGACCCACACTGGGGCTGGAAACTATTGTTTATTAATATCCTTCCTAACTTGCGCTAGCAAGTTCCTTTACTTAGCAGAGTTTACATTCCCTTTTTACATGCACAGCAGATAGCTGGTTGCAGGCTTGTGTTAGATTGAATTGTACATTCCTGGTAAATTCCCTTGAATCCCTCTTAAAAGAATAAAGACACAGCAATCTTATTCAAAGTCAGTAAAAGAAATTTACTCACATCAGTTCACAGTTGGATCCCTGAAGGCAGACTTAGTTACAAATATGTACATGTGGTCTACCCCATATGGTGGAATAATCCCAGTGCTTCTGCTAGCTGAGAAGCTAGCAGAGCAGTCCTAGCTAAAAGCTGGTCAAACAAAGGGGGGGGGAGAGAGAGAGGTGTGCTGCGTGACTCGTCCTTTTGTTACCTGGACAGGTTAGGTCACGCCTACCTTCTATCACATGCAAAAGGAAGGATATTCTAGCCAGGAGGAACAGGAAGTTTCAACTGGCTGGACCAAACATTCCCTCGCATGTCTTCTCTAGCAATCCAAGGAATGTTGTACTTGACTGCTCTCAGTGGATTACATCCCACAGAAACTTGTGGGGTGGCTGGAGCAGGGAAACCAGTGTGGCTGGTTACAGATGAGCTGAGATTTAAGAAGGGCATGAATAAGAAAGGGGAGAAAAGGGAAATTATGAAGGAAGGAAGAGTATACATGAGTAGCCAACAGCTGCAGAGAGAAAGGTCAGGCGAACCAAAGCTCAGGATGAACCAGCAAGTATTTGGTCCTCTGCGTGGAGAAGATGGAGAGATCACCCAATAGCATTTCTCCATCACCCAACAGTGTGATGCAGCAGCAAGCAAAGCTAATCCTATTCAGCAGAGGTCTAGTCTCCAGATCAAGGGAAGTAATAGTCCTGCTTTATTTTGCTTGGGTCAGACCACACCTGGAGAACTGTGTCCAGTTCTGGGTACCACAGTTTAAGAAGGATATTGAGAAGCTGGAAGGTGTGCAGAGGAGGGAATCCATTCCATTGTCAAACAGCTCTTAACTGTCAGAAAGTCCTTCCTGATGTTTAGTCAGAATCTCCTTTCGTGTGATTTGAAGCCATTGGTTCGAGTCCTGCCCTCTAGAGCAGGAGAGAAACAAGCTTGCTCCATTCCACGTGACAGCCCTTGAGATATTTGAAGATGGCTATCATATCATATTTTCAACCCATTTGTAATCAAAAAGAGATTGTTTGCTTTGGTCTAGCTGTACCCCATGTTATTTAACGTAGGCAACCAGGCTCAAAAGTTTGTAGCTTTTAAGTCGGCTTGAATATCCAAATCCATTGACAAATTAATATGTTGTGCAATGTAATGTAGCTTTAGGTTTGGTTTTGTAAGTGAGTGTGTTTATTTGAATGCTTCCTGAATCAAGACCTGGAACGCTGATGCTTCTGTCTTCCTTCCCAGGCAAAAATGGACAATGAAGTCTACAAGGACTTAGCAGCAATCCCCAAAGACAAGGCGATCCTGGACATAGAGCGCCCCGACTTGATGATCTACGAACCCCACTTTACCTACTCCCTCCTGGACCACGTGGAGAGGCCGAGGAGCCGAGAGGTGGGCCAGCCCAACCCCCCTTTTCAGGCCTGGGGGGGGGGTCCTTTGCTTTGCCCAGAGTACCGTAGCAAAAGCTATTTTGAGGTTATGGTTCTGTAGGAGTTGTTAGGTAACAGTATGTCCCGACGAAACAAGAATGGAGGATGAAACTGATGGACTAGGCAGAGTTAGATAAATTAATAGGACCAGAGATTCTTAGAAGACTGGAGTAAATATACGAACTATTTGAAAAGTAATTGTAATGAACAGATTACGCTAGTAGGATTGCAAGAAGTTTTGTAAGGAGGATTATTTGAAATATTGCAAGAAAGACTATGAGGAGAATTAGTAAAGGTAAAGGTAAAGGGACCCCTGATCATTAGGTCCAGTTGTGATCGACTCTGGGGTTGCGGCGCTCATCTCGCTTTACTGGTGGAGGGAGCCGGCGTACAGGTTCCAGAGCAGCGCCATTTACCTTCCCGCCGGAGTGGTACCTATTTATCTACTTGCACTTTGACGTGCTTTCGAACTGCTAGATTGGCAGCAGCAGGGACTGAGCGCGGGGATTCAAACCGCTGACCTTCTGATCGGCAAGTCCTAGGCTCTGGCGTTTAACCCACAGTGCCACCTGCATCCCTGGAGAATTATTAGTTAATGATAATTAACTAAAAGTACCGGTAATAGAGAAATTAAGAAATGCAGAGTAAGTGATAAAAACGGAAAATCATCAGAGGAGTTGACGGAAGTCAAAAATATTGTATAAGATAAGAAATTATGTTACATGAATGTTGGAAATGATATGTTAAAAAAAACCTAATAAAAATATTATTTTTTTAAAGGAGAAAACAGTAAGGCCAGTTCTGTAATGGCTGGCTAATTAATACTGTGAGGTTTTTGTGTTCCATGAGCCCCACTGTGGCTTACAGTATAGACACAGAATCATAGAAAACTAGGGTGGAAGGGACCCTAAGGCTCATCTAGTCCAACCCCCTGAAATGCTGGAATCTCAATTAGATGATACATGACTCAAACTCTGTTATAAACCTCCAATGAAGGAGATTTCACCACGTTCCAAGGGAGTCCCTTCCATTGTCAAATAGCTCTTACCATCAGAAAGCTCTTCCGATGGTTCAGCCAGAATCTCCTTTCCTGGAATTTGTATCTATCAGTTCAGGTCCTCCTCTCCGGAGAGGCAGAAAACAAGCTTGCTCCATCTTCTGTAAGGAAGCCTTTTAGACGTAATAGATGACTCAGATGTGAGCGGCATCAAGTGAAGTTCTCTCTCTCTCTCTCTCTCTCTCTCTCTCTTGACTCCCTTCTGCAGCGCTCCCTCTCGCCCAAATCCCTCTCTCCTCCTCCTTCTCCAGAAGTAAGTGTTTCTCAAGGTTGCCTTGGAGATGGGTTTCCAAGATGGGTTACCAAGAGCAGAGAAGAGGCCAGTGGGAGGGAGGGAGTGGGGAAGAGATGAGCAAGGCTGTCAGTGCGACAGGGTGGCGGGGAGAGGGATGTGTTCCTGCAGCTGCAAGGGCGGCAATTGAGCTCAGCGCACCCGGGGGCCTGTCAGCTCCAGAAGCCCTCTGGCCAAGAGGCAAGCCGCTTTGCAGGACTCCTTGCCACACGACAGGCCAGCACAGCTCCTCGGCTGCTGACAGTCTCTTGGTGGAGGGCAGGGTGCAGGCTGGTCTTCTGCAAGGGGAGGGAAAGGGCTGTGTGGCAATACAGGCTGGGGCCAGCCCACCCGTTACTGCCGATGAGGCAGCTGCCTCAGGCTGCAGGCTGGAGACAGCTGGGGGGAGCTGCGGATCTGGGGACCCCAGGAGCCTGCTGCCCGCCACCCCCTTGTGCTTGTAGCTCACAGCTGCCACCAGGGAAGAGCAGAGCCACTGTTGCCACCTACCTCCTATTTTCTCCCGTTTTGCCTCAGGCAGCAAAATGTCTTGGGCCGGCCCTGAAACCGGACTGCTGGCCTCCTCTGACCTCCTTTGCTCTGCCCACAGGTCACTCGCGACTGGATGGAGGAGAGCAAGTCTCCAGGCAATGCCTCCCAGCCGGGCAGCCGCCGAACCAGCAGCAGCAGCCGCAGCGGAGTCCATCATTTCCACCGCCCTGGTAGGGCCCCCCCCCTTGCCAAAGGCGCCTTAAGGCTTTCTCTGACACCCCCACCCATGCCTTAGACTGCTACCCCAGACCCTTCCCCGCCCTCCATCAGCTGCAGCCTCTCCCCGGGGGTCTCAGTCATAGAATTGTAGAGAGTTGGAGGGGATCCCCAAAGGTCATCTAGTCCAGCCCCCTGCAATGCAGCAATCACACGCTACGTGGGGCTGCCTTTGAAAAGGGCTCAGAAATGTCAGCTGGCTCAAAGAGCTTCAGCCAGACAGAATCGCAGCTGTCAACGTTTTCCTTTTTTTAAGGGAAATTCCCTTATTCCGAATAGGATACCTCACAAGGGAAAAGTTGACAGCTATGGACAGAATATTGACCCACTTGTTAGAACAGCTCTGCTAGCTGCCCATCTGTTCCTGAGCACAATTGAAAGTGCTGGTCGTGGCCTATAAAGCCCTATATGACTTAGGCCCAGAATCTCTGAAGGACCATATTCCCTTATAAGAACCTGCCCGGGTTTTGAGATCTTGAGGGGAGGTCTTTCTCCTAGTTCCACCACCCTCACAGGCCTACTTGGTGGGGGGACACAGGAGAGGGCCTTCTCGGTGGTTGCTCCCAGACTTTACAACTCCCTCCCTGGAGAAGCCAGGCGGGCCCCCTCCTTGCTGTCCTTCTGCCAGGTGGAGACCTTCTTATTCCAACAGGCCTTTGGGAACAGACTGTTGTTTTTTTAAGGAAAGGGCTTTTAATAAGTGCTGTGCTGTTTTATTATTTGTATTTTAATATATATATATAATAAGATGATGAAGATGATGATGATAATAATAATAATAATAATAATACGGTGGTACCTTGGTTTAAGAACAGCTTAGTTTATGAACAACTTGGATTAAGAACGCTGCAAACCCACCAAGTAGGTGTCTTGGTTTGTGAACTTTGCCTTGGAATAAGAACATGTTTCACTTCCTGTTGAGTGTGTTCCATTTGTAAATTGAGTCTCCCACTGCTATGGGAAAGCATGGCTTGGTTTAAGAATGCTTTGGTTTAAGAATGGACTTCCGGAATGGATTAAGTTCGTAAACCAAGGTGGCGCTCATCTCGCTTTTTTGGCCGAGGGTCATGCTGGCCACATGACCCTGGAAGCTTTACGCCGGCTCCCTCAGGCCAATAAAGCGAGATGAGTGCCGCAACCCCAGAGTCGGCCACGACTGGACCTAATGGTCAGGGGTCCCTTTACCTTTAAAAGGAGAAATATGGGCAGCAGGAGGCTGGAAAACCACCTCGGGGGTCTCCCTGAGAAGCGGCCCCAAACCAGTTGCTGCGTCCCCTGAGCACCTCCCTGTTCCTTCCCCAGATACCAACACGGCAGAGATGAACATCTACAAGAAGCCCCCCATCTACAAGCAGAGAGGTAGGTGGTGCTCCCCGATGACCTCTGGGGTGGGCAAAGATGGGCCTACACACAGCAGAGGCTCAGAGTCACCTGCCCCCCCCTTTGCACCTTGCAGAGCAGTCGGTGACGCCAACCCCGCAGAGCAAGCACCTGATCGAGGACCTGATAATCGAATCCTCCAAGTTCCCGGCTGCCCAGCCGCCCGACCCCAACCAGCCGGCCAAGATTGAGACGGACTACTGGCCCTGCCCGCCCTCCTTGGCAGTTGTGGGTAAGTGGTCCTTGCTGTGTTTTTCCGTCAGCCAGTGGGGTAGTGGATGGGGGAGACTTTCAAGTTTGCTTGGGAGAGATTAGCATAGAGGAAGTTGGATAATGAGGAAAAGAGCTGAGCAGAGGCTGGATACTGCTTTTCTTTTCTTTGACGAGGTTGCTGCTTCGTACTAGCAGTTTTAAACGGTAGCGATTCCTTGCGAGATCCTTTGCATTTCCAAAACAGCTATTTACAACATTCAAAATAAATAAACAAAAGCAGATTAAAACATACATCACCATTCTACAGGGCAGGCTTGTCTAAACAAGAATGTTTTCAGCAGGCACCCAAAAGAATACAGTGAAGGCGCCCGCCTGGTCTCAATAGGCAGTGAGTTCCAAAGTGCAGGCGCTGCCACATTAAATGACCAGTTTCTTACAAATGAAGAACAGGTATTATATGGCCCTGTAATAATGCCAGCTACACAGATAGTGGCGGCTGAGCAGATGTATATGGGGTGAGGTGATCTCACAGGCAAACTGGTCCCATGTTCTAGTTCCAGGTAGGTAGCCATTTTGGTCTGCCGTAGTCAAAAAAAAATTAAAAAAAAAATTCCTTCCAGTAGCACTTTGTTGTTGTTGTTTAGTCGTTTAGTCGTGTCCGACTCTTCGTGACCCCGTGGACCAGAACACGCCAGCCACTCCTGTCTTCCACTGCCTCCCACAGTTTGGTCAAACTCATGCTGGAAGCTTCGAGAACACTGTCCCACCATCTCGTCCTCTGTCGTCCCCTTCTCCTTGTGCCCTCCATCTTTCCCAACATCAGGGTCTTTTCCAGGGAGTCTTCTCTTCTCATGAGGTGGCCAAAGTATTGGAGCCTCAGCTTCAGGATCTGTCCTTCCAGTGAGCACTCAGGGCTGACTTCCTTCAGAATGGAGAGGTTGGATCTTCTTGCAGTCCATAGTTGCACCTTAGAGACCAACTATGTTTGTTCTTGGTATGAGCTTTCGTGTGCATGCACACTTCTTCAGATATTCTTCATATCTGAAGAAGTGTGCATGCACATGAAAGCTCATACCAAGAACAAACCTAGTTGGTCTCTAAGGTGCTACTGGAAGGATTTATTTATTTTTAATTTGGGTCCCATGTTGTTAAGGGTGGTTGATATAAGAATAGCAACCCCTTGAATCTGCCGCCAGGGCAGATATATCAGCGCAGGTGTTCTGTGCTGCCAAAGCCTGTCAGCAATTGTGCTGCAGCATTCTGCACTCATTGCAACCTCCGGATCAGGTGCAAGGCAAGCCCCACACAGAGCGCATAGCAGTAATCTAGCAGCGAAGTAATCCATGTGAAGGCTCAGGTAAACTGGCCCCACGTTACTATGGGCTTTATAGAGTCCTAGCTTCACCCTCTTTGGTCCCTTTCATCTTCCCCTCCCCAAATGGATACTATAAGGTTTCGGCCCTAAGCACACCCTAAGCCTACAAATCTGGGCACAGAATCTGGCTACCAGTCAGGTCTTAGGATCTTTGCCTAAGAGGAGAGAATTAAGTTTAGACTTGTCTGAAAGATCGGCGTACCTCTTCAGCAAAGGATCAGTGGTGTCTCTACGAATCTCAACATAAACAGGACATCTAAAAAATATACAGTGGTGCCTCGCAAGACGAAATTAATTCGTTCCGCAAGTTTTTTCTTCTTGCGAGTTTTTCGTCTTGCGAAGCACGGTTTCCCATAGGAATGCATTGAAAATCAATCAATGTGTTCCTATGGAAACCGCCTTCAGACCAGGTCCGGGGACAGTCTGTCCCACGACCTCTTCTGAAGGCTGGGGGGGGGGGACAAGGGCTTTTCTTCCCACCGCCAGCCTTCAGAAGGCTGTTCTGAAGGCTGGCGGTGGGAAGAAAAGCCCTTCTCCCCACCTCCCGCCCCGCAAGTTCCGGGGACAGGAGGGCTTTGCTGCCGACCGCCAGCATTTTAAAAGCCCCCAGGACAGCGGAGGTCTTCTGAAGGCAGGCGGTGGGCGAAAGTCTTTGCTCCCCCCCGCCTGCCTTCAAAAGCCATCCGGGATAGCGGAGAAATGCGCTGGACCTCTTCTGAAGGCCGGAGGGGGCGAAAGGCTTTGCTCCCCACCGCCAGCATTTAAAAGAGGTCCCCGGAGATTTCCCTATGGGCTTTCTTCTTGCAAAGCAAGCCCATAGGGAAATTCGTCTTGCGGAACGACTCAAAAACGGAAAACTCTTTCGTCTTGCGATTTTTTCGTTTTGCGAGGCATTCGTCTTGCGAGGCACCACTGTATGTTCAAGGCTTCCTATTTCCCCTAATGGGCAGGCACAAAGTCTCTGTGCGTACGGGACCCTTCTATAGAAGCCTTCCAGAACCGGTGAGGGCAAGGCTGAGCTATCAAGCTTCTAGCCCTTGGGTTTCTGAATGTGAGGAAATAGAGATATGCTGCTGGAGTGGCTACGTAATCTCCCGTTTTCTATGATTTTATAATCGGGGACCCTTGTACAGTCCTGTTGTCTCTCTATGTGATTCTTTGCCTAACCACGGATCTAGCTTGGCCCAGGCCCATAGTTATGAGGGTTTAGGGAGCAAGGCCCAGTTTCTGAAGAGTGTTTAAGACTGCTGTCTGCCAGCCAGACTGAAACTGGTCACTCTGAATCAATGGGGCTATTCCTCGGGGAAGCAGTTTCAGAGTTAGCCACTTATATGTTGATGTTAGACTAATATGAGCTTTTATCATGCCTTGTCTTTCCGCAGAGACCGAGTGGCGGCGGCGGATGGCCTCCAGAAGAGGCGAGGACGAGGACGAGGACAGCACGGAAGAATTGGGGAGCCTGCAAGAGCTGCAGAAACAAGAGCTGAGCAAGGTGGGCAGGGGGCTTGGGGGCAGGTGAAGCCGGGTGGGGGGCTCTCCTGGGTGCCGGTGGCTCCTTGTGTGGCTGAGCTCCCCGCCCCCACTCTCTCTCTCTCTCTCCGCCAGGTGGCCTCCAACCTTGGCAAGCTCATCCTCAAGGAGGAGATGGAGAAGTCGCTCCCCATCCGGAGGAAAACCCGTTCCCTTCCAGACCGGACGCCCTTCCACTCCTGTGAGTAAGCAACCCCTACCCCACCCCCTGCTAAAACCAGGGGCTGATTTCCCATGCTTCTCATTCTTTTTGTCTTGAAACAGGAAGGGCACATCTTTCGTGCACCCCTGTTTGTTTGTTTGTTTGTTTGTTTGTTTGTTTGCATTTATAATCCACCTTTTCCTCTGAGGTGCTCAAGGTAGCACTCTGTTAGAATTCCTGCTCCATGATTGCAGTCATGGGATTGTTGTCTATCACATGATGGTGTATGTTTTCATTCCGCAGAGTGGGAAGTGACGGAGACAGGATGTTTGTGTTACTGTGTTCCGTGAAGTGGGACTATTGTCCTTTGGTTTTTTTCTCTCTTTGCTGTCTGATGTTAGAGAGGGAGGGAGCCATGTTATCAGTGCTCCGTGGGTGTTTATATGTAAATAAAGTAGATTAGCCAAAATGCTGAGTTGCTGAGGTCTGTCACGCAAGGTGCGCAAACTCTGCAGATCCTTAAGTGTGCTGGTGTCGGTTGGCATCGGTCGCTGTGATGTTTGGGCAGAAGAAAGCTTATGAAGCTCCCGAACACCCGACCAGGAGGGAGGGATTATGCCAGTCGGGCATGTGTCTCTGCCAGAGTCCTACTCAAGTGTAGGCTGAACTCCTGACATAGCAGAACCTTCAAAGATAGTACCTCTCCCCCATGACTTTGTCCTTCTCGAGAGAGAATGGAGTGTGCCTCCAGGGGCCATGTGTCCACAGTGCCTGCTGTGGCTGAAGAGACTGGTAACTCTTAACTGCTGCCTCCCCTATATTGTTTTTGCTGTGTTAGCTGCACCAAAGTGACGCAAGCCTGGGCAGTGTGTCTGTAGGTCCTGGGCTGCCCAGACGACAAGACCCCCCCCCCTCAGCCACACTGGAGTGGTCTACAGTGGAGTAGTCTACAGGAGAGTAGACCAATGCATTTGACACCAGATTGGCTGCAGGAGTTGCTGGAAGGAGGCATTCAATACGCCATCCAACAGTCTTAGGGACTTGGGATTTGTGTAGGATTTACACCTTAGCCTTTTCTTCTCTGAAAGATGTCCCACAAGGCAGTGGGTACATGAATTTGTCTAATCCTCTTTTAAAGGTTGGTGGCTGTCACTGCATCCTGTGGCAGAGAGTTCCACAGTTCAGCTGTGTGCTGTGTGAAGAAGCAGGTTTGGCCAAAAGAGCCCAGGAGACACAGAGGCGGCTGCCCTCTTGCAAGTGTGCCTGAGCATTTGGCCCCGTGAGAGCTGTCCCTGGTGCCCTTCAAGTGTTGTGGCCTACAACTCCCATCAGTCCTTGCCAGCCTGGCCACGCTCCCATCAGCCCCTGCACCAAAGAGCTGTGCTGCCTGGGGCTGATGGGAGCTGTAGTCCAAAACCAGCTGGAGGGCACCCGGTTGGGGAAGGCTGGTCTAGAGCAGCAGGTGTGCCCCTTGGCCAGAGCTCCTTGTCATGTGGCCGCCCTGAGCAGCAGCCCCACGCATGCCCCTTTTCCAAGCTCCCTTCCAGAGCTGCCATCTGCCCATGTTCTTGAACTGTTGCTCAACCCAGATTCAAAGGAGCCCTTTCCCCAGCCATATTAATCACTGGTCTTCCTCTTTTTCCAGCTCTTCACGGAGGAAACTCGAAATCTTCCTCCCTTCCTGCCTATGGGAGAAGCACCCTCGCCAGGGTAAGGTGCCAGTTAGGGGCCTCTGCCCTACCTTCCAACCTTCAGCCTCTATGAGTCCTTTTATATATATACATATATAATATATTTTTATTAAGTTTTACATAACAAATTTAAATTCAAACACACCATTCACCTCCTCATTTATATTCTCTGAATCTCTTGACTTCCCTCTGCCCTTCCATGGTTACCATTATCAATCTTTTATTTTATTTTATCTGCTTATCTTATTTTCTCTAATTTGTTAAAAGAATAACAACCCATTTTTCCAGGGTTTTTCATACATTACAAGCATTACTCAAATCCTGCCAAAGTTTTTAAAATTGTTTACAGTGTTCTCTTGAGGAGATTATAATTTTCCCCCCATTCCTTCTTAAAATTCTTCTCTTCCTGGCTTTTGATTTTCCCAGTCAGTTTCGCCATTTCGGCGTAGTCCACCATAGTCCTTCAGCTTCCAGGAGTTCTAGTGTCATGACAGAGAAAGACTTTTCTCTTTCCCCTTTCTTCTCTTGGGACTTTCCCCAACCCACCGTTGCACTCACTGCAAGCGCTTTCACGAGCTGGATTGGGCCCATGAAATGCTATAATGCCCCTTGCCTGCCTGCCTGGAGATGGCGTTTGTGTGTGACTTTTGTGCTGCTGGAATGTAGCCTGCTATGAAATGAGAGCAATGCATTTGCCGCTTTGACCTGTTTTGCCGCTCGCCCTGAGCTCCGTTGAATGCAGACCCTAGAAGATTATCCACAATGGGGTGCAGGTCTTGAGTTGAGACACACTGCCCATCTCTGCTCTATCCCTGGGATGGAAGTAGAAATAATGAAGGTGTTTGGAGGGAATGTGCATATTCCACACATCTAGAAGTCCTCCGGTTTCCTTTTTATGAAAGCAGCTTTGCCCTTGCTGGTGCAGAGCGGGATCAAGAACAGTCTAATCTGAGGCGGTGGAAGTCATCTCAATGATCAGAAGAAGGGCCGCCCTTCCAAATTGTGCCTGTCCCTCTGGCGCCTGCTTCCATTCTGAAACCATAGAATCATAAAATTGTAGAGTTGGGAAGGAAAGGGAGTTGGAGCATCATCTAGTCCATGGGTAGGCAACCTAAGGCCCAGGGCCCAGATCCGGCCCAATCGCCTTCTAAATCCAGCCGGCGGACCGTCTGGGAATCAGCGTATTTTTACATGTGTCCTTTTATTTCAAATGCATCTCTGGGTTATTTGTGGGGCAAAGGAATTCGTTCATTTCCCCCCCAAAATATAGTCTGCTGCCCCCCACAAGGTCTGAGGGCAGTGGAACAGCCCCTTGCTGAAAACGTTTGCTGACTCCTAAGTAGTCCAACTCCCTGCAATGCAGGGAAGCACAGTTGCAGAATTCCTGACAGATGGCTATCCAAGGGCCTCCAAGGAAGGAGGGTCCAACACTGTCTTCCGAGGGAGTCTGTTCCACCGTCAAACTTTTCTTACAATACAGAACAACCAACCCCTGTGTTGCAAACTAAGCACAACAAACAATACAAGCAACACGCAGGCCAGTATACTAGATAGCACTGTAATTCTTCTTGCATAATATACATGATTTAGCAACAAAAACATGATTTGTTAGTAAATCATGTATATTATGCTGTAAGAATTACAGTGCTATCTAGTAATCTGTTCTTACAGTCAGAAAGTTCTTCCTAATACAGTCGTACCTTGGATCCCGAATGCCCTGGAACTTGGACGTTTTGGCTCCCGGACGCCGCAAACCTGGAAGTGAGTGTTCCAGTTTGCAAATGTTCTTTTGGAAGCCGAACATCCGACGGGGCTTCTGTGACTTTTGATTGGCTGCAGGAGCTTCCTGCAGCCAATCAGAAGCAGTGATTTGGCTTCCGAACGTTTTGGAAGTCGAACGGACTTCCGGAACGGATTCCATTCGACTTCCAAGGTACGACTATATTTAATTGGAATCTCCTTTCTTGCCCTTTGAATCCCTGTGATTTGGGTCCTCCCCTCTGGACCCAGCTAGAAAACAAGCTTGCTCAGTTTTCCATGGGGCAACTCTTCAAGTTTTTGAAGATGGCTGTCACATTCTGATCCACGCCATCTTTGACCAAGAATCGCACAGCTGGCATTGGCCCTGCAGAGAGACCTGCTGGCCTGGGGCTGAGTTCCCACAAGTAGCCCACATCTCCTGCCATTATTGGGAGGTGGGGGTGGGGATCCTTCTGCCACAAGCAGAAAATGAGTAATGAAGGCACACAATCACATTATGGACACGTGGAATCGGTTGCCTTTCTCCCACAAAGCTGCAGATCCCAGGAGTCTTTGGGGAAAGTGATGTGTGCTTTAGATGTGTGGTCTGGATGTGACCTAGGAAAGATCGAAGCGCCCGCTCTCTTCATGCCACAAAGGCACCAAGGTTGGCATGTCTCTGTGGGTGACCCTGACTCTTCTGCTTTTTTCCGCCTTCTACAGCTGCAGTCCACAGAGTTCAGTCCTGCCGGCAGCGAGAAAGGGAGCCCAGGTAAGCGAAACTACAGGGTTGGGGTGGGGCAAAGGCAGACCTCTCATCTGCTGACATCAGTCACCTGCCCTAGCTTGGACCCTCTTCTGCTACTTCTGAGCCACTTCTGACCTCCCTCCTGGTCACAGAATTGTAGAGTGAGAAGGGACCCCAAGGGCAATGTTAGAAACTGGGATACAAAAGCTAGGAGCCAAATGGCTCCTGGGACCTGGGTTGCAGGCGCCAAAACAGAATGTCTAGTCGCCATTGGGGGGGGTGTTTGGCAACAGTTTTTATTATTTTGATAAGCATGAACTAATATGCAATTCACATATGTGACACATTGCCAATATCACATTATAAACAGAAATTGCTAATACATGTTTGATTTGGTATTTGCAATAAAAATTATTGGTACCACTCAGTTTTCTAAAACACTCTTTTTATTAACACATTGCCTGTCCTTAACATATACAGTGGTACCTCAGGTTAAGTACTTAATTCGTTCCGGAGGTCCGTTCTTAACCTGAAACTGTTCTTAACCTGAAGCACCACTTTAGCTAATGGGGCCTCCTGCTGCTGCCGTGCCGCCGGAGCACAATTTCTGTTCTCATCCTAAAGCAAAGTTCTTAACCCGAGGTACTATTTCTGGGTTAGCAGAGTCTGTAACCTGAAGCGTCTGTAACCTGATGCGTATGTAACCCGAGGTACCACTGTACTTCGATGCTTTGAAGCACATACATTTCAGTAATCCTCGAGTGTCAGCCAGGTGCGAAAAGACTTTTTGAGGTGCTCGCAAATGGAGAATCTTTAGGTGCGGAATGTGCCTCGCGCCCTGCTAATTTCGAACCCTGCCAGAGGGTCATCTACTCCAACCCCCCGCAATGCAAGAATCACACTAAGTGGTCTTGGCCACTTAGCAATGAACCAACTGAAGAAGATCGCAGGGGAGTGTTGTCTTGTCACCTTCATCCCCTTTCCTTCTGTCTTGCAGGTCTACAGGTGAGCACACATGTCCAGCCACAGGTGGTCCCCCCAAGAGGTGATGTATCAGGCCACTTCCCTCAAGGATACCCGGGAGAGTGACGGCGTCTCACCCAAACCCCAGAGGAAGGCTCAGGAGGGTTTGAGAGGGGGGCCAGGAGGGAATAAGGTGGTGCAACTGGCTGCCTCCTGTAGGTCTACGGCCATGCCAAGTACTATTTCTGTGGGAGAAGGCCCTGCAACTGTGTTGGGTTTATTTTCCCTCCGCAGAACGGCCAGAGAGGGCGGATGGACAGGGGAAACTCCCTCCCTAGTATGCTGGAGCAAAAGGTGAGAACCGCCCCTGGGGCCATGGGGGAATATCCACCGTCCTTTCGCATGGGGGTAATGTGTCCTGATGCACCCACAAAGAAATGCAACCAAGCGGCCCCTTCGTTAACTTTGCTTTTCTTCCTCCCTGAAGATTTACCCTTACGAGATGTTGATGGTGACGAATCGGGGAAGAGTGAAACTGCCTCCAGGCGTGGACAGGACAAGGCTAGAGGTACAAAGAAATAGCACTGGTGCAGATCTACCTTTCTCAACCTTGACACTCTGCAAATCACTTCCTTGCTATTATCATTATCAACATCACCATTATTACAGTCGTACCTTGGATCTTGAATGCCTTGCGACTTGAACATTTTGGCTCCCAAATGCCGCAAACCCAGAAGCGAGTGTTCTGGTTTGCAAACGTTCTTTGGAACCTGAACATCCGACGCGGATTATGCGGCTTCCGGTTGTGTGCAGGAAGCCCCTGCAGCCAATCGGAAGCCGCACTTTGGTTGTCGAATTTTTACGGAAGTCGAACAGAATTCTGGAATGGATTCTGTTCAACAACCATGGTATAACTGTACTATTATTATTAATAATAATAATAATAATATTGTTGTTGTTGTTGTTGTTTTAGAAAATGTATAAGCCACTCAATTGTCAGAAAAACTCAAAAGGGCTTAACAGAAAAGAAAAAGCAATTAAATTGGCAGTAAGAAGAAATAACAAGACATTGGAAAAGTTAAGATAACCAGAGACTAAAAACATATTAAGACTCGCATCAACTTTCTAAACATGTGGACAGGCTTGTTTAAAGAAAAATGTTTTTAGCAGGTGCTGAAAAGAGTAAAGGTGTCAATAGGCATCGAGTTCCAAAGTTTGGGTGCTGCTGCACTAAAGTATCAAGTTCTTACAAATGTGGAACAGGTATGATGGGGCACTTGTATCTGTCCCTGTCCTGCTGATTGAAGCAGCAGGGGGGCCACATGTGGGGTAAGAAGGTCCAGATGTTGTTGGGCTTCAACTCCCAGCAGCCTCAACAGCCCACATGGCCAGTGGGCAGGGATGATGGGAGCTGTAGTCCAATTTCTGCAAGGCACCAGTTGGTGTGCATAATATTGAGCTAGACAAACCACTTGTCTTGACTCAAGATAAGACAGCTTCCCATGTTCTTTGACATGAGATGCAACACCTTTCCAGACAAGCACCTTGCCTTACCCCCCTATGTGCCCACTCGACCCCTTCGATCGGCAGAACCGGCATTGTTATAGGCTCCACATTTGTAGGAACTCTCTTATCTTTCAGCCTGGCAGCACCTACCCTTTGGAACTCCCTGCCGATTGATTTCAAGCAGGTGCATTCACTGTACCCTTTTGCAGCGCCTACCCAAATGTTTACGGGACGCGGGTGGCGCTGTGGGTTAAACCACAGAGCCTAGGACTTGCCGATCAGAAGGTCGGTGGTTTGAATCCCCGTGACGGGGTGAGCTCCCGTTGCTCGGTCCCTGCCCCTGCCAACCTAGCAGTTTGATAGCACGTCAAAGTGCAAGTAGATAAATAGGTACCGCTCCGGCGGGAAGGTAAGTGGAGTTTTCCGTGTGTTGCTCTGGTTTGCCAGAAGCGGCTTAGTCATGCTGGCCACATGACCCGGGAGCTGTACCCCGGCTCCCTCGGCCAATAAAGCGAGATGAGCGCCGCAACCCCAGAGTTGGCCACGACTGGACCTAATGGTCAGGGGTCCCTTTAACCAAATGTTTTAGAAAGTTGGTTCAGGTTTTCATTTGTTTCTAAAAAGTTATTTTAACTTTTCGTGTGCCTTGACTGCAAACCACTTGAGTGGTTTCATGAATCTTATGAAATGAACAAATACAGTGGTGCCTCACAAGACGAAATTAATCCGTTCCGCGAGTCTCTTCGTCTTGCGGTTTTTTCGTCTTGCGAAGCACGGCTATTAGCGGCTTAGCGGCTATTAACGGCTTAGCGGCTTTAAGAAAAAGGAAACAAACTCATAAGAACTCGCAAGACGTTTCGTCTTGCGAAGCAAGCCCATAGGGAAATTCGTCTTGCGGAACGACTCAAAAAACGGAAAACCCTTTCGTCTTGCAAGGCATTCGTCTTGCGGGGCACCACTGTAAATGAATGAGCAAGCCTCCTTCCTTCTCTCCCCCTCCCAGCGCCACCTGTCAGCTGAGGATTTCCTGCGTGCGTTCGAGATGTCGCCGGACGAATTTGGCAAGCTGGCCCTGTGGAAGCGGAACGAGCTGAAGAAGAAAGCCTTCCTCTTCTGATCCCGGCCCCCGCGCAGAGCCGACATGCCCGGCGTGACGCTCCGTGCGTGTGTGCCGACCCGTCTTTCATCACAGACGCTTTAGGGCTACTCTCGAGCTCGTCCAAAGGGACGTTGCTCCTTTCTCCCCACCACCACCCAACCGCCCTCACTGCAGAGGTGGCTGCCATGCCTTGACTCTTGGGGCAGAGGAAAAGTGGGTCAGGAAAAGAGTGGCGAGCACCCTGTGCTGGATGTGGCAGCGGCTGTGGGGGGTGCCAAGTCCCTTCCCCACTCCCACCCCGGTGAAAATCAGCCATGTGTGGGGTGGGAAGAGGCCAGGGTGGAGATTAGGTGTTCTGTGCTGCCACCCTTAAGCTCATTCCGTTGCTGGCTTTACTCCCAGACCATGCATCCTCTCCCCCCTGGTTTTCTAAACTTGGGCAAGAATGAGCCCCCGACTTGGTCCAGCGGGCAGATCTGAGCATCATGGCACCAGGCAGACTCCCACCCTGCAGCAGGACCAGATTGAAGAGGGTCTCTCTGCCCCAGCATCCTCTTCTCACAGGGGCAGCCTTGCCACACTCTCCCACTGATTTCCGCCCCCTTGTGATTGGTACTCAGCTGCCCACTGGATGTGCCTAGCCTCCCCTGGAGTGAACGTGACCTGGGGCTGCTTCTCATCTAAATGGCTACCAAGCAGCAGTGTGATGGCACCCTCCCCAGCAAAAAAAACAAACAAAACAAAGCTTCCTTTGCTAGCTCCTGCCCCTACTGCACTGGACAAATGGAAGTATTTCGTGGCCGCTCTGTAAGATGTGCTGCCTACAGGAGGAATGCAGCCACTACCACGGTGCCCGCAGGCATGGAGAAGGGCATAGAGGTGGGCTTCATTTGGAATCGAGGCATGTGTCCAGGCGCCCATTCTGCAGGACTAGGTCACTTGGAGTCACTTCCAACTCTATGGTTCTAGTTTCTTCCCCGCTGCCAAAAGCTCCCTTTGTAGGCCAGCTTCCTCTACCCGTTTCCACCCCAGCATTCCCAACTCTTCCTGCAAGCTGGGCCTGGGCCAGCTATATGTGGCACCTGTTTCCTGCTCTCCCTCTGCCCTGCCATCCCATCCATCTAGGCTGTAACATTCTTCTGTGCTGCACCTGCTGCCTGCCCCCCACCCCAAAATCTGGGGGCCTCTGCCACCTACCCTGCAAGCTCTATTCAGCGAGACTGAATAGAGATGTGTCTGAAGAGAGGAATGCATTTACCTGCTGCTGTCATGCCCGTAGTTCAGGCCCGCCTCTTCAGCCTATGTGCCTCCCCCTCCACATACCCTGCACTCGTACGTACACAGATCTACCTGCCCTGTCTCCACAGCTTCACGCTATTCCTGTGGAAAGGACTGCAGAGAAGGTGGCTTGATGCAAAGCCTGGGTATGCCCCTGCTCCTGCACAACCAGTGTGGCGTAGTGGTTAAGAGCGGTGTACTCGTAATCTGGTGAACTGGGTTTGATTCCCTGCTCCTCCACATGCAGCTGCTGGGTGACCTTGGGCTAGTCACACTGCTCTGAAGTCTCTCAGCCCCACTCACCTCACAGAGTGTTTGTTGTGGGGGAGGAATGGAAAGGAGATTGTTAGCCACTTTGAGACTCTTTAAAGGTAAAGGGACCCCTGACCATTAGGTCCAGTCGTGGCTGACTCTGGGGTTGCAGCGCTCATCTCGCTTTATTGGCCGAGGGAGCCAGCATACAGCTTCCAGGTCATGTGGCCAGCATGACTAAGCCACTTCTGGCGAACCAGAGCAGCGCACGGAAATGCCATTTACCTTCCCACCGGAGCAGTACCTATTTATCTACTTGCACTTTGACGTGCTTTCGAACTGCTAGGTTGGCAGGGGCAGGGACCGAGCAACGGGAGCTCACCCCGTTGCCGGGATTTGAACCGCCGACCTTCTGATCGGCAAGTCCTAGGCTCTGTGGTTTAACCCACATTGCCACCTGAGACTCCTTGGGGTAGTGATAAAGCAGGATATCAAATCCAAACTCCTCTTCTTCTTCAACCCTAAAAGCTGGAGGAGTGAGAGCTCTCTTCTGCTTCAGCCACCGCAAGGCCCACAACTCTGTGCCACAGCCCTGGGTCTCTCAGAAGCTACTACAGGTAGTTTAAGTCATGCAAGGCAGCTGCATTTATGCCAAGGGACAGGAGCTTCCTAGCCGGCCCCTTCTGTCTTGGGCATAGAGGCCAGGCTCTGCAAAGGATCACCTTGGGAGTGCAGCCACTTCATGGGCAAGATCCAGGCTGCTCTGTCACTTTCTGCACCAAGACGGGCTTTCTTTCTTTAGGAGCCAAACAACCGTCAGTCTCAACCCAGACTGAGCAGCGAGAGCCAGGACAGGAGACTAGGCTGTCTCTACACTGCCACACATTTCTGCTCACCAAGAGATGAGAAGCACCTGCCCACCCCCATCTCCTCCTCCTGGAGGTTTTTTGCCCATCACCATCACACTCCCCCTGCCCCAGGGAGCACACAAGTGGTTGTGTGCAATACACAAGCACCCGTGCCTGTTGAACTACCAGGGCCCACAAGTCAGCACAGTTGGACTACGTGATCCTTTGGGCCCCTTCCAGATTGTATGATTCTAGGAACACAAACCAATGTTGCACAGGCTGCTAGACATCAGCAGGGAGTTGCAGGGTTGGTTTCTGCTGGGGCGGAAAAGATCTCTCTCTCTCTCTCTCTCTCTCTCTCTCACACACACACACACACACACACCCCTAAAGCAAGAGGGGGGCACTGTCCCAGTGAGCACCTTCCTCCACAAAATCTACCAGCCCTTAAGTGGTGGCTTCTCACTGACTGGTAAAATTACTGAAATCTAGAGGTACTTTTCATCAGGCTATTTAAAGAGGGGGAAGAGTTTGCCAAGGAGGAGAGGGGTGCTTCAAGCCACACTTCCAAGGAACATTCCCCAATCCAGACCAGCGCCAGGCCTACCTGTCTCACTTAAGGGGTCCTGCACTGCACCAGCAAAAACCTCCCATCCACAATGCTGTCCTGGCACTTTTCAGTCTAGTAAGGGTGCTGCCATTGCATTGTGGGAGGGAGAGCAGAAGAGCCTGGAAGGGTTCGCTGCCCTTGGTGGGGTGGATCAAAGCAGCAGCAGCAGCAGCAGCAGCAGCAGCAGCAGCAGCCTAGGCCCAAGCAAATTTATCTTTTGAGTCAGGAAGATGGAGAGAGAGGTGCTTTCCCTCCATCTGGCGCCTTCCAACTGCTTTTGATGGCAGCTCCCAGCGTGCTGGCTGGAGCTCAAGGGAGCTGGAGCCCCAAACATCTGGGAAGCAGCAGGACAGCACCCTGGCCCTGAAATCCAGCCACCAAGACTGCCCAATGAGCCATTCCCCAGGGCTGTGGGAGAAACTGCCTTTCCTGGCTCAAGAGCCCAGTGTTCAGCTCACGCCTTTTCCCTCCACACAGCCCCTGCCATGCTGCCCCCCTTACATCTCCTCCCTCCTGGCCACTCCACTTTGTGCAAATGTAAAGAATGTAATTTATTAGAAGTCACCGGCCTCTACTTGCTTTTCACTGCTATTCTGTGAGCATATCTATAAATAAGGACCTCCTAGTGCGAAGAGCGGCCTACCCTATTCCACCACCCACTTCGGCTGATGTCAGAATCTGTGTGAAAATGATTTCCTCTCTAACCCCCACCCCCTTTTAATTAAATGTGAAGTGGCTTTATTCAAAAAGGTCTTGTCCTTGCTTTGTTATTTGTTTGTCAGGACTGATGTAAGAGCTGCACACACTGTTAAGTCCTTTCTAGCCTCTCCTCTGTTTATTATTTCATAAAAACTATGCACCGTTTGATCATTAAAAACAAAACAAAACCTCCAAGCAATTTACAAACAGAATGAAATAAAATAATTACTAGTAAAAACCCTAAAGCAAAACAATAAATTGAAAACAGATTAAAACATATAGCAATATTCTACATGTCTGGGTAGCCTTGTCTAAATAAAAATCTTCTGGGCACAGAACCAGAAAGAGTACAGTGGAAGCACCTGCCTGGTATCAAATGGCAGGGAATCCCAGAGTGTAGCCGCTGCCACACTAAAAAATCAACTTCTTACAAATACGAAATGAGTATTATATGGAACCTGTAACAGTGCCAGTTCTGTCAATTGAGTGGGTATCTATGCGCTAATGTGATCTTGCAAGTAGTGCAAATCTCTGAGCAAAGGTGTTCTATGCTGACAAGGCCTCACTCTGTCAGCAATTGTGCTGCAGCATTCTGCACTAACTACAGCTTCCAGATCAAGCGCAAGGGAAGCCCCACACAGAGGGCATTGCAGCGTTCCAGTCTGGAAGTAACCAATGCAGGAAAAAGTGAGAAATGCTCACTAAGAAAACGTTTCGATGAGGATAGAGGGAACTGGTCATTTTTCAAGCCCTCCCTGGCACATTCCTCCTAAAAAAAAAAAAAAAAAAGACACTGCCCAGCCACTTCTAAGACAACAGACCACAGGCACTAGAAGAGAAATCTAGCAATCTACTCTGAGACTGCACACTATTCTTCCTGAGCCAGACTGGGCCTTCAGGTAACTGCACATACAACCTGCTGAAAGAACACAGAAGTAGCTGCTGGATGAGGCCAAGGACCCATCTAGTCCAGCACCCTGTTCTCACAGTGGCCAACCAGATGCCTCTTCTGGGAAACTTGCAAGCAGGATTCAAACACAATCACATTTTCCCCTCCTGTGGTTTCCACCAGCTGGAATTCAGAAGCATTGCTGCCTCCGACTATGCAGGCATTGTGGCTGGCTGCCATCGATAGCCCTCTGCTCCATGAATGTGTCTAATTCTCTTTTTAAGCCTTCCACGTTGGCAGCCAACACCACTTCCTGCAGGAGCGAGTTCCATAGTTTAACTATGTGCTGTGCGAAGAAAAATGCTCACTAAGAAAATAGTTCGAGTAAAGGGTTTTATTTCATCCAAATCCAGCCAAGCTCCTGGACCAGCCACCATTGTGATGAGAAGACCACATTCCCAGGGCCATGCCTACCTGCCATGCCAATCACTTGTCAGTCTTCCTAATGGGATTCAGTTGAGAATTACTTTGCGTGGAGGGCGATTTAGACTTCGTTCTTTTCAAGGTCATTCGACAATGACCTGGTCGTGTCAGTCCAGCTTCAGGCATCCCCCACAAAAGGCAGGCTGATAACAGGAGCTCCACCAACCCATTATTTCAGCCAGATCCATTTGTCGCCAGCCTCAGCGTTGTAGCCTTGTTCGTATTTACGTCCAGGAAGCTGCAGTAGAAAGCACAGAAGATCCATGAGGATAAGGGCACAGCTTCACTCTTGTCATCACTATCCTCGAAAATATAAAAGCAGGCTTGCTGGATCAGGCCAAAGCATCCTGTTCCCACTGTGGCTAGCCAGGTGGCTATGGGAAGGCAGACCCGAGTGCCACAGCAGTTTTCTCCCCAACTTTAGATTCCCGGCAAGTGGCATTCAGAGGCATACCGACTCCAGGAAAACAGGCAGAAGAATATTGTCGCTGTGGCTCATAGCCATAAACAATTCCCTTTTCAAAGGCGGTGGCTGCCATGACATCTTGTAAGAGCCAATTCCACGGCAGCAGCACAGCATAAAAAAGTCCTTCCTTCGGCTTCTCCAACGTTTAGTTTCACCGCATGACCCCATGAAGGTAAAGGTAAAGGGACCCCTGACCATTAGGTCCAGTTGTGGCCAACTCTGGGGTTGCGGCGCTCATCTTGCTTTATTGGCCGAGGGAGCCAGCGTACGGCTTCCGGGTCATGTGGCCAGCACGACTAAGCCGCTTCTGGCGAACCAGAGCAGCGCACGGAAATGCCATTGACCTTCCCACTGGAGGGGTACCTATTTATCTACTTGCACTTTGAGGTGCTTTCGAACTGCTAGGTTGGCAGGAGCAGGAACCGAGCAACGGGAGCTCACCCCGTCGCGGGGATTCGAACCGTAGACCTTCAGATCAGCAAGTCCTAGGCTCTGTGGTTTAACCCACAGCGCCACCCGCGTCCCTTATGACCCCATTAGGTTCTAGCATTATATGAGAGGCAGAGAAAGCGGCTCTCATTCCACTTTCTCTATACTATGCATGGTTTTATACACCTCTTGCCATGTTCTCATCACACACACACACACACACACACACACACACACGTACTTCTTAATTGTGTTGTCATAATAAAACGTTCCTTTCTCCTTGGAAAAAGCCTGACCACATGAGCATGAGGTGGTAGCCATCTTTCATAGCGAGCTGTTCCAGCTTCATGATATTTTGGTTGCCCTTTCTGAGCCCTTTGGGGGGTGGCAACCAGAACTGAACAGCTTTTCAACGTAAGGCTTTTTTAGCAGGCTGTGGAAAACACTGACCCCGCAAACTTATAATGGACTGATAGCCATTCCCTCTCCTCCCTGGTTCTCTCATAAGAACATTAGAAGAGCCTGGCTACTGGATCAGGCCAATGGCCCATCTAGTCCAGCTTCCTGTTTCCACAGTGGCCAGCCAGATGCCTCTATGGGAAGACTGCAAGCAGGATCTGAGAATGAAAGCCCTCTCTCCTCCTGTGGTTCCCAGCAACTGGCATTCAGAAGCATTGTTGTCTCTGGCTGCGGAGGCAGAGCATAGCTAGCAAGCCATCAACAGGCCTCTCCTTCAGGAAATTCTCTAATCCTCTTTTAAAGCCATCTAAGCTGGTGGCCATCCCTGCCTCCTGCGGGAGAGCCAAAGTTTAAGTGCTGTGTGAAAAACTGCAGCTGCAGATCTCCAGAGAATTATTTTTAAGAAAACTGCAAGTTTCAGAATTCTGGGGTGGGGGGTGGGGATTGGGCACAAGTTATTGTTTTATAACAGCGTACATTTTCGGTGTGCAAAATAGCACCTCTCTCAGGCTACAGATCTAAAAGGTGAGCTGTTTGAGGATCAAATAACCTCATTTTAAAAATTGCTAAATGGAAAAGATGGGTGCTTATGTACAAGGCACCTGAAGTATCCGAGCATAAAACCAAAAGAACATTGACAAGATGAAGGTTCACTCTTGGGAGTTCCTCTTCTAAAATTACATTTTACTGTACCACCACTGAATGTTCTCCTCTCACCTCCTTGTATTCATTAAACGCTTTGTCAGCATCGAGGCCTCCCACTGTGATTTCAGGTATGTAGAAAGGGAGAGTTGTAGGAAGGATCACACTGTACTTGTCCTGTGCCCTAATATGCAAAAAATAACAACAGCAACTTGGTTATGCTTACTGAAAAGGCAGTAGCTTTGGGGATTCATACCCGGGGGGGGGGGGGAGAGAAAAATGACAGGGTTTTTTTGGGTGGTGGGGGACAAGGAGAGAAGATGATCTCCTTTTAATCTATCAGCATCAGAGTTTACCACACACCCACCCAAAAGCAGGCCAGAGTTCCACAGAGGGGGACAGACAGGCAGCTTTTTTCCTTCCTCGGCTTGGACTTGAATTACCGTATTTTTTCGCCCTATAGGACGCACTTTCCCCCCTCCAAAAATGAAGGGGAAATATGTGTGTGCGAATGCTATGGAGCGAATGCAGGCTTCAGGAAGCTCTCCGCAAGCCTTGGGAGCCCGGCACGACTTCCCGCCGGGCTCCCAAGCTTGCGGATGGCAGCCCGCGGGCTTTCAGGGAGGTGGGGGAATTCCCCCACCTCCCAGAAAAGCCAGGAGAAGCCGCACGCTCTTTAAAGGGGCTGCGTGGCTTCTGCAGGCTTTTGCGAGAGGTGAGGGAATCCCCCTACCTCCCAGAAAAGCCAGGAAGAAGCCGTGCAGCCCTTTTAAAGAGCGCGCGGGTTCTGCCGGTTTTGCGGGAGGTGGGGGAATTTCCCCATCTTCTAGAAAAGCCAGTAGAAGCCGCGCAGCCCCTTTAAAGAGCGCGCGGCTTCTGCGGGAGGTGGGGAATACTTCCAGAGCTTGTCGGGGCTGGTGGGTGAAGGCTTGCGGATAGCAGCCTGTTCTGGGGGCTGGGGAGGGGGGAAAAAATAATTTCCCCCCCTTGATTCCCCCCCCCAAAAAAACTAGGTGCGCCCTATGGGCCGGTGCGCCCCATAGGGCGAAAAATACGGTAAGTACCAGCTTCAAAGAGTGCTTGCTGGCTCTCCGCATGAGTCACTACTCTGCTTTGCCTCTGCACAGGGTGGGCATCTCTAGCTAGCAAATGAGTGGCCCATTAACTTGGGCACAGAAATGCAGCTGTACTGTCCATAGGAGAGGCCCACTGCACCTCTGCAACTCATTGCTCTTGGCTGCTAATCAGAGGGCATAAAAAACCAGGGCTATCATCCCCTTGAGGGAAAGGCAATCCCCACTGTGAAGCACCTCCAACTTCAATCCTAGATAAAAAATAAAAATATATCAAGAGTATGCCTTGATAATCCAATTGGCAAAAATTTATAAATCAAAAATCAAATACCTGTTGGAGATGCAAGAAAGAAATAGGAACAATGTTTCACATGTGGTGGAATGCCGACCTATTGAACAATTTTGGAATGAAATATATGAAGAAATCAAAAAGATGTTTAAATATCTTTTAGTAAAAAACAGAAGGCATTCCTTTTAGGTATAATTACAAAAGAAATTCCTGGCAATCAAAGGAAAGTATTCCTCTATGCGACAACAGCTGCCAGGATGCTCATAGCAAAAAACTGGAAAGGGGGAAAATCCCATCAATAAAAGAATGGCAAACTACACTTTGTGAATATATAAATTTAGCAAGATTCATAGCATTCTTAAGGGGGCAATCAGACCAAAAATTAGCAAAAGAATGGGATTGTGTTAAAGAATATAAGAAAAAAATTGTTCTGAAATAAGTATATCGGTATGTAACGAATGAAGCTTTGCAGGGTTAAAGAAATTGAAAAAACGGTGTGAAAGGTATAAAGATAGAGGTAATTTACATTAGACACAACAATTCAGAAAGATTAAAAATTTTGAGGTCTCAAAACAGAGGAAGGAAGTCAATATGTACGTAAAGATTATTACGATGGCATGGTTTTCTTTGTAGGTGTGGTTTTGTTTTGTGTTTTTTCTTCTTCTTTTGGATTTTATGTTTGTAATTTTTGTTGTAATTTTGCATTGGGGGGAGAAAAGATAATCCAATATATAGGAAACACTGCTGTATGTATTGAATTCTGAAACATTAAAGCTGTGCCACGCTCCGCAGGAGGCAGCTCTGAGATGCTTCTGTAGCAAGAGATGCAACATGAAAGGAGACTAGTTAGAAAGTCCATCCTTACAGAACCCTCAAGTGATGAAAAGAGACGTCGTCCTGTTCGGGCCAAGGTCCCTTGTTGAACTTCAGGTACTCAATATCTTCTATTACCTGCCAAGAGAAAAGGATTAGCATCAATGCAACCAGCCAGCTCTCCACGAGGACGTCTGAGCTTCTTTGCTACCTCAAGGCTGCAAGGCCAAGATGACCAAGGGGTATATGCTGCACCACAGAAGTTAAAGTACGGAGTTTAGATGGGTTTTTAAAAATCAGCTTAACCTGGAGAATGAACTGGAATGAAATGTGGTGGAAAGTCTAAAACAGGCACCCCCAACCTGCGGCCCTCCAGATGTTTTGGCCTACAACTCCCATGATCCCTAGCTAGCAGGACCAGTGGTCAGGGATGATGGGAATTGTAGTACAAAACATCTGGAGGGCCAAAAGTTGGGGATGCCTGGTCTAAAATCTGCAACAAGGAACTCCTTAAGTGCAGAGTTCAGGCAAAGTGATTAGAAAGGAAATGAGAGACTGAGCAATTCCTGTTCCCAGCAAGCCAATATCCTGTAACTCACCCCCCCCCCACCATATTTTGGTTTACAGTACAATCAAATCTCTGCCTTGCTTGGAAGGTAAGGATGGTCTGTGTAGGGGGCAGTTCCAAGGGAGTGGTTCAGATATACACATTTTTGCATCTATGTGCCATCCCTGGAATGTAATGCCCCCACCACAAGACACAATCATACTGTGATTTGCCCACCTTTCCAGTGGGAACACAAAGTAGCTAACAGTTCAGCATCACACGCACAGAAAAATAAGAAAGCACAATATTAATAACTTCATAGCATAGACACCACTGCAGTATCACCAAGGAGGCCATCTGAGAACTTCTGCATGCAAAAGCGGCGTTCTTCCATTCAGCCGTGAGCCCTCCCTTCGATCACTTGCAGGGGAAAGGACACTCTCCTCTGAA